CTAAATAATGGGTAAAATCTCTTGAACGTTGTTAGGAGGTCTGCCAGAGGGAGGAGACAAGAGAACAACAATTTGAGTAACTCATCAGAACACAGGGTAAATAATTGCCTTCAAGTACCAAAAGGGTTGCTAGAAAACCATATGCAGCAAAGGGAAGTAAAAAAAATAAAATAATTGAAAAACAGGGAGAAAAGAATGAAGACAAATAATAATAATCTATAATTAATAAGGGGCCATGAGGGTTGGGGGTGGGGAGGAGTGAGGGCAAAAAACAGGAGCTGATCCCAAGGGTTCAATGAAAAGTAAATGTCTAGAAAAGAATGATGGAATATATGTACTAATGTGTCAGATACAACTGATGTATGGATTGTAACAAGAGTTGTAAGAGCCCCCTATAAAATTATATTAAAAAATTTTTGCTACTACTAATAATATATTATCAGATGGAGGAAAACAAATAGAATGTGTTGCCATCAGTTTTCCTAAAAGAAATATTAGAAGCCCCTAGCCATCCTAGTAACTTCTCAAGACCCTGGTGTCCCTGGGCCCCATGAAGGAAGGCCCAGTTGTCCCGCATCTTAGAAAGTTTCCAGCTGTGCACACACACACATACCTCCAATAGGGCCCAGCCATCTCAGCAAGCCAGCAAGGAAGGCCTTGGGTATCCCTGCTCCTCAATAAGGAAGACTCCAGGAGCCCCCAGAAAAACAGGCGCCAGCAGCCCCACAATTGGCAAAGAAGTCCACAGAGGTACTCTATCAAGAAAATCCCCAATTGTCCTTGGTATCTGGCAAATTAGGCCCAAGCCACACACCCCTGTGACCCACAGAAAGGCCACAGTTGTCTCTACCACCATCACTACCCCTCACTCCTCCCAACCCACTCCTCCCACCCTTACCCCACCACCCAACACTGCCCGGCAAGGAAGGCCCTGGCCATGTCAACAACCCATCAAGAAAACCCCGGCCATCCCTGAGGAAGGCCATAAGCCTCTCAGCCAAAGAAGGCCCTTCACATCCTTGCATCCCACCAAGGAGGACCCAGCTGTCCTAAAACCCACCAAGGAAGACTTCAGCCATCCCATCCCCTGGTCAAGGAAGACCCTAGCTGTCCCTGAGACCCATCAAGGAAGCCCGTGGCCATGTAGCCACCCAGCAAGGAAGGCTGCAGATGTCCTTGTTCCCCAGCAAGGTAGGCTTTAGATAGAACTGCCCCCTACAAGACAAAAACAAAAAAACCACCATGACTTATTAGAGTCAAAATCTCTAATGAGAAGGGAAAGGAGAGAATGCTTATCATAGCTGGGGGGTGGTGGTGGTGGAAACAACAGCTACCTACAAAGGGAAACCAATAAGAAGCAGCGCAGACTTCACAGCACAAACCATTCCAAAAAGAAGTCAATGGAGTGATATATATAAAATCCAAGCAAAATTATCTTTCAAATGTAAGAAAGAAATGAGTATTGACAGA